CTGACCCACCCCCTCTGGGATCAGCACCAGGGAAACAGCTGGAAGGGTACCAGCTGCATATGGGGAGTAAGTGAAGTGACTGTAAACAGGGTGAGCGCCAGGCAAACCTCCAGGAGCCAGGCAGCAGCATGGTCCCCTCTCTGAACCCTCCCCTGACACAGCCACAAAGTGGTGAAGCAGGATGCCCCTCCCTGGTGATTACCTAAGGCTCTGCCCCACACAATTTACAGGAGACTTTCCTACAATAGGCCACTACAATGCTACTAAGACAGGGAGTCAAAGTAGCTTTATAAAATGCATAGAAACAAATACAAGGAGGCTGCCAAATTGAGGAGACAAAGAAATATGGCTCAAATGAAAGAACAGAACTAAACTTCAGGAAAAGAATGAAATGAAATGGAGATAACCAACCTAAGAGATGCAGAGTTCAAAACACTGGTTATCAGGATGCTCAGAGAACTCATCAAATATGGCAACAACGTAAAAAATACCCAGGAAGAAATAAAGGTTACATTAAGCAAAATAAAGAAAAATCTATAGGGAACCAACAATGGAGGGAAGATGCCGAAATTCAAATCATTGATTTGGAACATAAGGAAGAAATAAGCGTTCAACCAGAACAGCAAGAAGAAAAAAGAATTAAAAAAAAGAGAGAGAGAGAATAGAATAAAGAGCCTCTGGGACATCTCTAAATGTGCCAACATCCAAATCATAGGGATGCCATAAGGAGAAGAAGAGCAAGAAACTGAAAACTCATTTGAAAAAATAATGAAAGAAAACGTCCCTAATTTGGTGAAGAAAATAGACATACAAGTCCAGGAGGCACAGAGTGTCCCAAACAAGTTGGACTCAAAGAAGGCCACACCCAGACACATCATAATTAAAATACCAAAGTTAAAAATAAAGAGAGAATCTTAAAAGCAGAAAGAGAAAAGAAGAGAGTTACCTACAAAGGAGTTTCCATAAGAGTGTCAGCAGGTCTGTCAAAACAATCTTTTCAGTGTAGATGGGACTGGCAAGAAGTATGCAAAGTGATGAAGAGCAAGGACCTACAATCTACATTACTCTATCCAGCAAAGCTATCATTTAGAATGGAAAGGCAGATAAAGTGCTTCCCAGACAAGGTAAAGTTCAAGGAGTTCATCACCAAGCCCTTATTATATGAAATGTTAAAGGAACTTGTTTAAGAAAAAGATCAAAACTATGAACATTAAAATGGCAACAAATTCACAACTATCAACAACTGAATCTGAAAAACAAAGCAAATGACCAGAACAGGAACAGAATCATAGACATGGAAATCATTTGGAGGGTTATCAGCTGGGAGGGGGAAGAGGGAGAATGAGGGAAATAGAGCAGGGATGAAAAAGCATCATTGGTAGGCACAAAATAGACAGGGAGAAGTTCAGAATAGTATATGAAATGGAGAAGCCAATGAATTTAATATGCACGACCCATGGATATGAACTAAGGCGGGGTGGAGGGGGAGAACTGCTGGAGGGAATGAGGGTACCAGGCAGAGATGGACAAAGGGGGGAAAATTGGGACAACTATAATAGAATAATCAATAAAATATATTAAAATAAATAAATACATATACATGTCGTTGATAAACAAACTCAGTTATTTAATCCATTGATTTCTTTAATTAAAAGTTATGGTTATGTGCCCTGGCAGGTGTGGCTCTGGATTAAGCACTGGCCTGTGAACTGAAAGGTTGCCAGTTTGATTCCCTGTCAGGACACATGCCTGGGTTGTGGGCCAGGTCCCCAGATGGGGGTGTGCGAGAGGCAACTGATTGATGATTCCCTCATACAACAATGTCTTGCTTCTCTCCTACTCCCTCCCTTCTCCTCTCTTTATAAATAAATAAATAAATAAATAAATAAATAAATAAATAAATAAACAAATATTTTAAAAAACTGTTACATTTAAAAATTTAAAAAGTTATGGTTATAGAAATGAAGAGATAACTAAACAAGTTTCACATTTCATTTACTAGAATTAGGAAAGAATAACATTTATTAAAAATAATATACATTTAAAGCTGTCCTTTTTTGCTAACTTTGTAGAGAAAAGTGTCACTGCAATTCACTCTAAAAAGATTTACAAGTCTACACTGATAATATTATAATTCTTTCAAGGCTGTAAGATCATTTTTCAAAACCCTTAAGATAAGAAAGTGAAAAAAGGTTTAAAACAAAGCCTAGTAGATTATTGTTGGGAACCACCCTGACTGGTTTCAGGAGCTGTAACCCTCCCATGGCTAAGGCTGAGGGAGTGACCTTCAGACCATAAGACACTAAGGAGACAAAGTGTATCTCCCTGGCAGGAGCACCACTTCTGTTCCTTTTACTTCATCCATTACTGGCCCCCAATGCTTGATCGGTTACCCAATGACGGGTAAGATACCCCAAGGGGGGAACAACCTAAGACAGGCACGATCACGTGGGAGGCCCCTAGGGAAGGACTTGGGGGACTACAGCAAAAGGGGGTGATGGACCCTCACCTCTCGGCTTTGACAAAGCCTGAGTCCTCATTCTGTCTGCGAGAAGTCTCCTAATCTCTTGGTTGCCTTACTTCCCCTGGCAGATTTAAGCCTGAAACAATGACAGAGGATGGTGGAGCCCTGTGCTGGAAAGGGCAGGTTCCCTGAGTAATCAGGCCTAAGAAAGAACATGTAAAATCCTGTGAAACCTACTTTGTTTAGAATGCTCTCAATTAAATGATAAGGGTCCAAGCAAAAAATGAGTTTGTTCCTCAAAAGTTTTATTGCTCTTTAGCTATCAGACCCTGACTCAGAATAGGCCCTCAGAGTTCTTTGTTATCTATTGTTTGATCCTTACTGCCTGATAATGATTAATGAGCTTTACCTGTATTCCTGTGCAAAGGAACCCAATAAAAGCCCATTGAGGAAAAGGCTCTTGACCCTTCTCCTTGGAGAGATTGGCCACCTTTCCTCCCTAAGCAGATCATGTCTTGGTAGACTTATTCTCATCCCTGGCAGCCTGGGAGGGCCCTGTGGGTTGAGCCCCCCTCCCACAGATTATTCAGCATTCAAAAGATGTAAAAGAAATAATTTGATAAAATTGCAGATTTTTGTTTTTGTAAATAAATCTTTGACAATAGTCAATGCTTTATGTGATTTCTAAGTGGTAATTAAGATTTTCTTAGCAGAGGCAATACACTTAGTAATGAAAGCATAACATCTTTGAAGGAATCTTGGTTTCTAAATATCAGTCCTCAATAAAAGGAACCAGGATTCCTTGGAGAAATCCAAAGGAATCCAAATCAAAATAAACATCACTACAGTCCTCTGAATGTGATTTCCTGAGGTCACAGGCCAGTTATTCTGGCCAAGGATACAGTATGTGAATTTAATAATGACTGGGCATTCCAGGTATATAGACTACCATGAGCAAAAGGCCAAATGGCTAATTCCAAGGCAGGTAATAAGATGAATCCAAAGCACCTGGTTGTTCCATCAATATGAAAGTACTCAAGGGGAAAAAGATTGGGCACGACTATAGGTCATAGGAACTGGCTAAAAAGTGTTCCCATTGGTTAAATCTGAGAAAATGTGAGCATAAAAAATAAATATGGACAAAAATGGATTATAACTCATAAAGTAAATCAGGAATCTCAAAGTCCACATTGATAAGTGATAAGCAACAGAATCCTGACTGATAAGTATGGAGGACAGGGTTGAAATATTTTCTTTAAACAGCCATGGTTTGGCATGGATCATCAAAAGACACTCAATCTAAAGTCGGGGTGGTGAGGGCAGTTTGAGGAGGAGCAGGATGTCTGCATGATTTCAAAGCATCTCTCCAGAGATGCTTTTTAGTTGAAGGAGAAAAAAAATAACTAATTATTAGAGTAACTTGACAACACCTTGACTGGGTGATCAAAATAAACATCACTACAGTCCTCTGAATGTGATTTCCTGAGGTCACAGGCCAGTTATTCTGGCCAAGGATACAGTATGTGAATTTAATAATGACTGGGCATTCCAGGTATATAGACTACCATGAGCAAAAGGCCAAAACTAGGAAAGTACATGTGTGTGCTGGGGGATATTTTTAGAAAATAAAGAGTAATTTAGTTCAGCTAATTCCCAGAAGATGAGGCAAGGGAGGGAGAAATAAAATTATAAAGATAGGTTGGGGCCATAATATGGAGGATTTTGCATGTTGGCTGAGAATTCTGTATTTAAATTTAAGAGAGACTATAAAGATTGATTTTATTATACATGAATAGTAAAGAAAGCTTTAAAGAAAAATATGGTAAGATCAATACACAAATAGTTTTTCAGAAAGAATTTCAACATGGTATTGAATATGAAAGTCTATTTTTATTCTTCCATTCACGCAATTGATTGACTGAGCAGTCCCAGGTGCAGGGACCACTGTGGTACAAAAGACAGAGTTGTCCCCTGCACTCTCTGAGCTTACAGTCCTAGAGCTTTTGCTTAGGCTATCTTTTATTTCAAATGGTTTCTTGAATGCCTAACTGTTACAGGTTTCTTCCTTTGGTTCCTCATTGTTAAGGGTATATGCATCACTGATCATACTTTCTCTACCATTAGAAGCAGTTATAAAGTATTTTTTGTACTGTTTTTATGGAAACACTGTGTACACAGGTGATGATAGAGATTTAAATTTAAAAAAATCTTCATGCTCTAATTATTGTGTAACTGAAATCTTATTTAAGAATTTAGTCATTTCTAGAGTAGTCAAATCCATAGAGAAGAAAGTAGAAAGGTGGTTGCCAGAGACTGTGGGGGAGGGAGATGGGAAGTTAGTTTAATGGGTAGGGTGTTTCAGTTTGGGAAGGTAGAGTTTAGGAGATGGATTGTGGTGGTGGCTGCACAACTATGTGTATGCACCTAATATCACAGAACTGTACCCTTAAAATGGTAAATATCATGTTATGTATATTTTCCCACAATTAAAAATAATTTAATGTTAATCATAGCCAATCTTTATATTTGTACTCACGAAGGAGCAATATCCAGGTGGTTGATGCTAAATCCAGAAGAGCAAAAGCCTCCTAGTGTTGTTGATATGGTTAGGAATGCAACAGCCAAAGAATAATCACAACCTATAAATCCAGCGGCAACCAGAAATACTGCAGGTCCAATCATTCCTGAAGTTAAAAGGTTATAAAAAGAAAAAGCCCTAGCATTAATATTTGCTTGCTCTACATTAATATACCATAAATCTGATGTTTGGTATTACTGCCACCTACTGGAGAAACATTGTATTACCTAGAAGACTCCAAATTTAAATTACATAGTTTCATGAAAAAACTTGTGGAAAACATATAGGCATGTAATTAAGGAAACTAATATAAAAGTAAAAGGAAAATCTCATTTTGCAGTCCATTAAATCTACATGTGACCAAGACTCAGCTATAGTTTTATCTACAATGTTAGAGAAAAGAACAAAAAGAGAATAATTGAAAAATATGGTCCCAGAGAGAGGCAATAGTTGATACAGTGTGATTTAAAATTCAAAGAAAATAAACTAAATTATAAACTGTTGGATAAAGTTCGAAAAACACTCTATCTACGTTTTGACAACTGAAAGCAATATGCATAGCTTATTACAGGCAGTTAAGCATAAAATATAACATAGGAAGGGACTTATGGGCTGCCATTTTCTCTGTGTCTACAGCAGTGCGAACCAGAAACACTCTGTGATGATAGGATTGTTGTATTTGTATATAATGCAATGAGAAGCTAATTTTTAAATTTCAATTGAATTTAAATAGCAACATATGGCTGGTAGCTACCGTACTGAACAGATCAGGTCCACAGAAAGCCAAAAAGGAGAAAGGCCTTTTTAAAAATCTATTCTAAAGGAACTTACTTCATTTGAAGGTGTGGAATAATTTCTTGAGTCGAAGTAAGTAAGCAGTGGAACAGGACAGCAAATTTCAGTAGTAGGTATCCAGAGATGTTTACATAATAATCCCAAATAGGATAATTCTGTAAGCTAATACACTACATGCATTAAACATGCTGCTTTAATATGTGAACAAAATAAATGATGAATATTATCATTTATACTCTGCCTTACACTGTAAACACAGTAAATAACTGTGAGCCAAAAGAAAATCTGATTCACTTCACTTACCTATAAGGCTGAAAACTCTTCGAACACATATAGTTGAAAAATTCCATTTTGCTCTTAAATGGTCAGCAGCTTGACCAGACAGGATCATACATAGCCAACAGCCGAAATAAGGCACTGCTGATAAAAACCCATTCTGGGAGGAATAAGAAGATACAGGGTGAATTATGGTGGCAGGAAAAACCAAAATACACACACACACACCTCCACCACCACTTGAAAACAAAAGAAATCCATAGCACTATACTGTTAATTTTATATAGTTATAGTTAATAAATTTGGTTTACAGAAGGATTTTGGGATTCAGCTCAGTGCAGTCCATAAGATCATGTCTCAGAGGGAACTAGAGCTCACCACCGTTAAGTCTGCTCAAGGCACTCTTGAATGTTATTTGGGGACTTGGGCTGTAGCTTCGGTGAGAGAAGACAAGTATCCCTATTAGCCTATGGATTTTCCCCGCTGAACAGTTTCTGTCTTCAATTTTTTACTTATTTTTTAAAAAATATTTTTTATTATAAAAAACATATGAAAACAAATAAACATATATCTTAATGAATTATTCTTTTTAAAATTGACTTTAGAGAATGGAAGGGGAAGAGAAAGAGGAACATTGATTTGTTGTTCCACTTATTTATGTATTCATTGGTTGCTTCTTGTATGTGCCCTGACCAGGGATCAAACCCACAACTTTGGCACATCAGGGTGATGCTCTACCAACTAAGCTACCCAGCCAGGGCTCTTAATGAATTACTTTTAAGTGAACACCATCTAGGTCAAGTGACTGGTACACTAGCACATGCTTTGAGTGGTAGACAAAAGGCAGTGAGGTGACTGAGAGACACTCTAATTTTTTTTTTAAATTTTTTTTAATTCAAAAATTTTTAAAAAATTTTATTTATTTATTTTTAGGGAGGGAAAGGGAGGGGAGAGAGAGAGAGAGAGAGAGAGAGAGACATCAATGTGCGGTTGCTGGTGGTTATGGCCTGCAACCCAGGAATGTACCCTGGCTGGGAATTGAACCTGGGACACTTTGGTTCCCAGCCCGTGCTCAATCCACTGAGCTACGCCAGCCAGGGCTGAGACACTCTAATTTTTAAGTTACCACCTGAACAAAATGAAACCACCAGGAGATAGAAAACTGAATTGATTATGGAAATAAATGTGTTATTATTTTTTTTGGTAGGAAATGATTTGAAACTTTTTTTAAAAAAAATCACAATCTATAAAATAAAGAGCACACACTCAAAAAAAGAGAGAAATTTTTCTTCTATTCATGTTTCCTTAGCACAAACCTGAGGTGCCAAGATTAAATGGCCTAATTCTGATAAAAACAAATGTTTTTATAGTCTAAGAGAGATGGGTACCCTCCTTAGTGTTTGCAAACTCAAAAAATGCAGAAAGATATTTTATAAGCAATATTAAATCTTGCAATAATTCCATTTAAACACCATGGTGCAGACCAAAAAATTTTAATATTTTAAATTTGTGTCCTTAAGAAAATATTTAATTTCTTTCATTATAGTTTGTGGTTCTCTGTATTCAGATGTTGTATGCTTCCAGTTGTTCTGTAACTGAAAATTTTTATTTCTTTCTGGCATTATGCCATGTAATTTCCTCTTTAAATTTTATTCCATTTAGACTTGTGCATAGTGGGATCACATCTATCATCACTCATGGCAGAATGCTAACAGGTGAAAAGACTATCACAAACAGAGAAGTTAATTTTCAAATCTAGGTCTTGTTCCCTGGTGGGATAAGGGTGAAAGTTTTTCAGAGTTACTGAATTTTTCTACTTAAAGCACCAATTGTTTTTTACAGCTCTGATGTTAAAAACTCTCCCAACAACCTGAAACTACTAAAATCTTCAACATTTATTCATTCCATGGACATCTTCTACAGTTATTAAGCTTTCTGTGCAAGGATAGAATGCCTTGCATTCACTTGAACAGTAGAATTGGAAAAAACAAGGAAAAAAGAAAAGTGAGAATAAAGGATGAAACCAAACTCATAAGAAAAAACAAGCTTATAGCAAAAGATCAAGAGCTTTAGAAATTTTAATTAACAAGAGATTATAATTTTAAATACAAAGCTTCTCAAAGCAAGCTTTATTTTAAGCAGAAGCCATTTCATAAGTGTGATATACTGATTTTTAAGGAAAAAATCCAGGTTGAAAAGAGGCTTCTAGGGGGTCAAATACATGGTGACAGATGGAAACTAGACTTTTGGTGGTGAGCATTCTGTAGCGTATACAGATATCAAATCATAATGTTGGTATACCTGAAACTTATATAATAATGTTATTAATCAGTATTACCTTGATAATATAAAAAAGGCTTCTCCCAGCTGGTGTAGCTCATTGGATTGAGCGCAGGCCTGTTAACCAAAGGGCTGCCCGTTCGATTCCCAGTCAGGGCACATGCCTGGGTTGTAGGCCAGATCCCCAGTAGTGGGTGCATGAGGAGCAACCACATATTTATGTTTCTTTTTCTTTCTCCCTCCCTTCCCCTCTCTCTAAAAATAAATAAATAAAATCTTAAAAAACCCTTCTATCACAACTAGAGAATTATTGTCAAACTTTATTCATGTTTCTTTTAATTTTGAGAGAGAAAAGTGCTTTTTAATATGAAAATGCAAGATAAAAAATTCTTGTTTTAAAGTTTCTCATTATGGAACTTTTAAAATCCATAAAAAATAGATAAAGACAACTAAGTACACAGCAGTAATTTCTGGCCAGCTATTGATATTTCATTCTTCCCACAGTTCTCCCAGGAAAATCTCAGAAACATCAGGGGAATAATCTTTAGATTTACATGCAACTCATCACTGTAGTAGATTGTGGTCAAGTTCTATTAACAGGTAACTTAGGGGAAAAAGGTTGCTCATGACAAATCCATCCCATGCTCTTGCCAAAGCCTTGTTTTAGTTTACTTTTGTCAATGTCATTTGTGGATATATTTTGGTATAACTGATCTTGTTTTTTAAAAGTAGGCAGAGGAGATCTTCATGGCTCAGCCGCCTGAATGAAGTTCAAGGTTTGGTTCATGAGGCCAATGTTTTCAGTGTGCTTTGAGAGAGAGGTGACTGGAGATATACTTTAACCATGTTTAAAGCTGGTTAACTCCACATAACCAAGCTGTGCAGTCAGCCTTGCTATCTTCACATTGACCACCCAGGCTGCTTCTTGACTCCCAGGGTGTCAGGGCCCAGGGCTGGCCACCCCCAGATACCCCACAATGGTATGGCGATGATTTAGACTAAAATAACTTGAGAAGCAGGAGTGGGAAGAGCTCTCTGACTCCTCTGAGGAGATAAATCTCCATGTGATGGGTATCCTCTCTGTTTCTAAGAGACACCCATATCCCAAGGGTTAAAAAGTCTAGAGTTTAAAAGCTTGCATAAGCAAATCTTGTAAAGTCTTTACCAATTTACTACCTAAGCCCAAACCTTGCTTAGATGCCTTCCTAATGAGTGCTTTCTTTGACTTGTCAATATCTCACAAATTTATTATTTCTTTGTCTAAAAAATATAAAAAGGTGCCTGGTTCCATCAATTCTTTGAGTCTCATTTTATGACATGAGCATCATATTGTGGCTCCTCATGTGCATGTATTAAATTGGTTTTTCTCCTGTTAACATAGTGTCAATTTTATTATTTTATTATTAGTCCAGCCAAAAGAACTGCAGAAGTGTAGAAGGTGGGGGAAATTGTCTCCTATCCCTGATAATTTTGGTGAGCCAGTCAGGAACCCTCACTGCTGGGAAAAACTGCCTTTTCCTTGGACTGCAGCAGCTAAGAGATCCTTGAGAAACCTGACAATGAGCTGGCAAACAGGTAAACTTTTTCTTACCTTGTCAGCCTCCCAGAATCTCTATCCGCAGGGTCCAATGGAAAACAACATGACGAGAATTTTATTCTTTCTTTCTAAATTTAGATTAGCAGGAGGGCTAGAGAGCTCCTCTCACTCCCTGCTGCTTCTTAAATGATTTTAGTTTGAAATAATCAATATGCCAGTGTGGGATATCTTGGGGTAGTCTGCCCTGGGCCCTATCAAGGGCTATCTTTCACTTTGTGGCTGAGTAATATTCCATTGCATGAATATACCACCTTTTGTTTATCTATTCACTAGCTGATGGACATTTGGGTTGTTTCCACTTTTTGGTCATTCTGAGTAATGCTGCTATGAACATCTATGTACACGTATTTATGTGGACATCTGTTTTCAGTTCTTTTGGGCATAGACCTAGGAATGGAATTGTTGGGTCACATGGTAACTTTATGTTTAATTTTCTGAGGACATGACAAACCCTTATACAATTGCTATATCATTTTACATTCTCACCAGTAATGTATGATTGTACATCCTTAACAATAACACTTATTATTTTCTGTTTTTTAAAAAATATTTAAACAGGTATGAAGTGGTATATGGTTATGGTTTTAATTTATGAGAGGAGACCGCCCAAAACCCTGGAATTTATTTATAAAAATTGTGTATTTATTCTTAGGGCACGTTTAAACTTCAGTCACCTTCAAAGTACTCTCCATTTGATACAATGCACTTTCAAGATGTTTTTTCCACTGCTCAGAACAGTTTTTGAACTCTGATTTTGAAGCCTTTTAGTGCTTCTGCTGCTTTTTGTTTCACCTCTTCCATATCAGCAAAATGTTTCCCTTTGAGGACTTTTTTCATCAAGGAAAATAAAAAAGGTTGCTCGGGGTAAGATTGGGTGAAAGGTGGGGACACGGGGCTCATGCTGTTTTTGGTCAAAACTGCTAAACACTCAGTGAGACAGGTGTGCTCATAAATCAACCACCACAAAACATGCTGAGTCTTCAAAAAAAATTCACTGAACCTGTACACAGCCTCTCACCACAATGCCAGGTGGTACACTCATACAGATGGGTTCCTAAACCAATCACTTAGCAGGGGAAGCCTGTATTACAAGGGGCTGGCCCTCCAGAAGATACCACCAGTTTTCCTTATAAACTGTGCCTTATTCTCCTTAGGCTTTTCTTCAATCTCTTTAAAGACAAAATTCATCAATGTAAATAGAGATAATAGGAACTCCCTCAATTTGATGAGTTCAAAGGTCTTTCTTATGTAACTTTCTAACTATAGCTCTTCCAATGCCTAAATGATGCTGCAAAGTAACCTCTGCACAAGGACTTCGCACCTCCCAACTCCTCTTCAGCTGCCTGAAAAGCCCCACCACCATCCCTTGTAGAAGTGAATATTGGTGCCACTTGAAGTTGTCATCTGATAGGTCCTGGCATGTTACTAGGGATTAGTAGGACTTTATGGTTAAAGGGGTACCAACCAAAAGATGCCTTGAGTCAAGTGTTAACACACACTGAGAAAAGAAAGAACTGTGAAGCAAAAAGAGAAGTCTCTAAAATTTAGTATATTAGAGTAAAACGGAAGATACAAAATAACTGAATTTCACATAGATGAAAACAAATTCTGTGTGTAGTTTAAAATCTGTACTCTATATAAGAAACATATGAGTATATTTTCTTACCGCTTGAACATTGAACCTCAGGATCTCCTTCATGTAAGTAGGCAATAATGTCAACAAAGTATAAAAACTCCAGTTATAAGAAAAGTGTGCAACAACAATAGCCCAAAGTGGCAGGGATTTTAGCATGGGAATCCATGGAACTGACTTCTGTGAAGAAAGCTGAAAAAAAAAAAGGCACATTTAGGGCAAGCTATAGCTTTGTTTTGCTATCTTTAGATACGTACCTTCTCAGCCAAAATTCCATTTAGAACACATTATCAGCCTTGATTAGTAAATTCCATATTTTTAAATGAATTCTTTTAAAATATTAAAGAGTAAGAGTCCATTTTCAGATTAGAAGAAAAACAGAAATGTAATTAGAGCAATAATGTCAACCACAAGCACTCCTTATGAATGTCAGAAGTCACCTGCAGTATTAATTCCTCCATCTATAAATTAGAGAACAGTTTCACAATCAAATTCAGAGGTTGGCATAAGGGCAAATGAAAGACTGCAAGTCCTATTAGAACTCATATCTCATTTTACAGTCTGTATTAAATTACAATGATTTATAAGAACTGTGCAATAGAACTATTTTTATGGAGCTATTTGGAGTAATAGTCTTCAAAGTAGGGTGGAAGTACCCCAAGGGTATGCAAGATGATCCAGCAGGGTGTGGGGAGACATATTAGAACTTTTATCTATACTCACTTTTATTCTAAAAAAAGAAATTAAATTCTATTAATATTTAATAAATAGACTGGTCCTGGAGTATGTCAGATGTAAAAGAAAAACAGCAAAACGGATTTGATACTGTCAGGAGAGCAATCTCAAACAGAGCTGGGAGGCCTCCAGGAAGCTCAGTTAGTTAACACACCCCCTCCACATGAAACAATGGCTAAACCCAACGGCTCATCTTGATACAGCCCCTGGAAATGGCTCTGCATCACTGCACTCTCTTTTAAAAAACAAAATTTTCACCTAGCAATAGATATAAGCAATTAATCCTGTACAGCATAGTGGAAGTCTGCTTGCCAGCACCAATCCCAGCTCTTTCAAAGCAACTCACGTTACCCCTTTGGAAGCCCCTCTTTTTCTGTCTTTATAAGTTCTGTCCTCTTTTCCCCCTTGGGACAGAGTTGAGTTTCTATTCAAATCTGTTTTAAGGAATTTGCAATTCCTTAAAAACAAACAAACAAACAAACAAAAACAAACAAAGCTTTTATTTGCCTTGCAGCTCTTGGTTAAAACTGACTGACACATATAATCACGTGTTGTGTGACTGCCCCAATCCAAAGGGGTTAATGGCATCCTCACTTGTTTGTTTGCCCTCAGTGCATTACAGTGTATTACAATTTATACTCACCTTTTATGGTGGATTTATGGATTTTATTAGCAAGTGTTACTTAAAACAAATCTCACAAAATCAACAGTGTCTTCAAAAAACTCTTACAAAGAGTCAGTAGAAAGGAATTCTAATAATGTAAGCACAAGTGAACAATAAGAGAATAACAGAGCTGACACTTCCTCATATGAGTTCTTTGTCAGCTGTCTCACCAAACAAAATAATGGCTGGCTCATCAAATATAACATATTCAAACACACTGCTCCCATTAAAGAACATTATTATTACTGATTTTTAAGTGATAAAAAGGTGTCTCCCATTAAAATTTTTAATTTATGTATTTATCTATTTATTTCTTATTCACCCTTTAAAGAGTCTATTTTTATATATTTTATAATGTATATAAGTACAGTAGTACATGTAGATAACCTGTGAAAAAATATATATACTCAATGCCCTGGCCAGGTGGCTCAGTTGGTTGAAGCATCATCCTATAAACCAAAAGTTGCAGGTTCGATTCCCAGTCAACAAAACTGATATCTCCCTCATATCGATGTTTCTCTCTTCTCCCTTCCTTTCGCTATCAAATCAATGAACATATCCTTGGGTGAGGATTAAAAAAGGAAAAAAAATGCATATACTCAAATTGTTAGCTGCCCCCAATGTTTCACTGATGAATGATCAAGAAAGCCTGGATCACCCCAATAACTTAAAAAAGAAAAGAAAAAAAGAAAAAGAAAGAAAGCCTGGAGACCACTGGTCTGGAGTGTTAGATAACTGCATTTCCTATATACTAAGGCTCTGTGGTTTCTTTCTCAAAAGTTAGATCAATTTATGTTTCTGCTTCCAGGGTTCACTGTTATTTCAAAAACAGGTAGAAGCGGTATTAACCCTCTGGTGGAAAAAGTACCTTTTTCCTATTTGACTTGGCAGTTATGTTCTTATCTTCTCCACTATGTATCAAAGATGTAGGATATATAGGGGGAGAGAAGGAGAGAGAACACTTATTCTTGTATAGCAGTGGTTCTTAATTCCAGCTATGCTTCAGAATCATCTTTGATACTCGGAATTATAGTTGGCTGTACTCAACCCCAGGTCTATTGAATCAAAAACAAAAACAAAACCTCTGAGTGTAGGGCCAAGGCATATATTCCAAAAGGCTTCACTGGTAGTTCTATAAAGTAGTGGTTCCCAAACTTTGCTGCACAGGGAACTTAAAAAACCCTGAGGCCAAGATCACATCCCAGACCAACTAAACCAGGTTGGGAGTGGGTATGAGGTACGTGGCAGTATGGATTAAAGATTCCCATGGATTTTCAATGTGTAGCAAAATTTGGGACCTGCTACTATAGAGATTGAAGAAGCCTGCAACCTCTCCATGCACCCCCATTGTTTGAAAAGCTCAGAGATAAAAGGAAGGACAAGACCAGTCTAAAGATTTTAGAGTTTAAAGGAATTTGGAACATAGCTCTTTTAATATGGATTTGAAACTGACAAAGGAACTGAATTACACTTCTGTGTTGAAAGGTACAAGTTTAAATGTATCCGATCTCTGAAAACTAAATATATTCTGAATACTGTATCCTCCTCCTGGAAATAGAAACTTTAGTGTGGAATATGTAATAATTTTAAGATTCCTGCTGTATGTACTTGCACGTGTTGACAGTGCTGTTTTATAAGAATATGCTGATAATAGCTTTTGTAGCATTTCACCAGTATTTAGGTATAATCTTGTTTGTACAAATGAAGGAAATTTAGCCATGCTGGCATATTTTCACAGCCTATACATATCAACTGAAGTTTTGATAATCTGATGTTTTTAGAGAATCACCCAACCAAGACCAGCTGTAAGTGGAGAGTGATATCAATCAGCAAGATAGCCAAATAAGATGTCCTAGGCTCAGCTGGCATCCATCCACAGACAAAAGTCTCTTTGTGGGAGCTGTGGGGTCAAGCACCACATGCCAAGGGACCTGGGAGGAGTCTTACACATCTGTGCTTCGGGTAAAAGACATACAGACCTTGGTCCTAGCTGTGAACCCTGGAGGTAGCTGTGAACCAGCCCCAGTGCCTCTTGGACAGGTCTGGGAGCCCTTGGAGAATACTGACTTAGACAATCAGCCATTGAAATATCAAAAGAAATCCTGCCATTTGCAACATGAATGGACCTTGAGGGCACTGTGCTAAATGAAACAAATCAGACAGAGAATGACAAATACTGTATGATATAACATGTGGAATAAAAAAAAAGGGAGGAACTCATAGAAACAGAGAGTGGAATGGTAGTTGCCAGGGAATGAGGGGTGGGGGAAATGTCAGTCAACAGGTGCAAATGTCCAGTCACAGGATGAGTAAGTTTTGGGAACCTAACATATAGCACGGTGACTAAAGTTAGTAATACTATATTGTATACTTCAAAGTTGCTAAGAGAGCAGATCTTAAAGGTCTCCTCACAAAAAGGAAATGGTAATTATGTGAGGTTTGGAAAGAATATGATATGCACATGTTACAGCTTAGAGTTCATTTGTAAATTGGGTAGAAAACAACAGTTTTGAGTTCCAGCCAAGATGGATGTGTAGGCAGAAATGCTTCACTTCCTTGCACAACCAAAAGGATAACAACCAGTTTAACAAAAATAAATAACCAGAATTGCCAGAATATCAAACTGCATGGAACTCCGACAACCCAGGAGTTTTAAGAAACATTCATCCAGATGAGTAGGAGGGTGGAGATGGGCAGTTGGATGGGCAGAGAGGGCCCTTGACAAGGTGGTGGACTGCATGGGTGAGGAGTGGCTGGCTGACAGGGAAATTAAAGACTCAAAACCTCTAGCTGTAAAATACTGTGGGGGTCGAGAAGGTGGGAGAACCTCCTAGTCTCACAGGAGAATTCGTTGGAAAGTGCGGCTAGAGCGAAGCAAATGGGCACATTTTTCCCTCTCTGGCTCCTCCCCCACAGGCAGTGCTACAAAGAGGGTTGGCCTGCCCAGGTGAATACCTAAGGCCCCATCCCCTAACAACTTAACAGGTGCACCAAGACAAAGAAATATGGCCCAAATGAATGAACAGAGTACAACTCCAGAAAGAGAGCTAAGTGATGTAGAGACAGCCAACCTATCTGATGGAGAGTTCAAAACCCTGGCAATCAAAATGCTCACAGAACTGATTGAGCTTGGTCACAAAATGAAAGAACAAATGAAAGATACCCAAAGTGAAATAAGGCAAAATATTCGGGGAACCAACAGTGACAGGAAGGAAACCAGGACTCAAATCAATGATTTGGGTCAAAAGGAAAAAATAAACCCAACCAGAATGGAATGAAGAAACAAGAATTCAAAGAAATGAGGAGAGTCTTAGGGACCTCTGGGACAACTTTAAGTGCTTTAACATCCAAATCATAGGGCTGCCAGAAGGAGAAGAGGAAGAGCAAGAAATGGAAAAGTTACTTGAAAAATTAATGAAGAAAAACTTCCCTAATCTGGCAAACGAAATAGACGTCCAGGAAGTCCAGGAACCTCAGAGAGTCCCAAAGAAGTTGGACCCAAGGAAGCACACACCAAGGCACAACATAATTACATTACCCAAGATTAAAGATAACGAGGAAATCTTAAAAGCAGCAAGAGAAAAGGATACAGTTACCTACAAAGGAGCTCCCACAAGACTATCAGCTGATTTTTCAAAAGAAACGTTACAAGAAACAAGGGGCTGGAAAGAAGTATTGGAAGTCAAGAAAGGCAAGGACCTACATCAAAGATTACTTTATCTAGCAAAGCTGTCATTTAGAATGGAAGGGCAGATAAAGTGCTTCCCAGATAAGGTCAAGTTAAAGGAGTTCATCATCACCAAGCCCTTATTATATGAAATGTTAAAGGGACTTATCTAAGAAATAGAAGATCAAAAACTATGAACAATAAAATGACAATAAACTCATAACTATCAACAACTGAACCTAAAAAACAAAAGCAAAAACTAAGCAAACAACTAGAAGAGGAACAGAATCACGGAAATGGAGATCACCTAGAGGGTCATCAGTGGGGAGAGGAAGGGGGAAGGGGAGAATCCAGGGGGAAGCACAGGGATTAAGAAGCATAACTGGTAGGCATAAAATAGGGAGAGGTTAAGAATAGTATAGGAAATAGAGAAGCCAAAGAACTTACATGTAGAACCCATGGACATGAACTGGGCGTGGGGGAGGGGGAATGCTGGAGGGTGGGGGCTGCAGAGCAGAGTGAGGATAAAAGGGAGAAAAAATTGGGACAACTATAATAGCATAATCAATAAAATATATAGAAAGGTTTTCTTTTCCCCCAATAAGAACTGTGAGATCAATTTATGGTATTATATTTCCACATTATAAGTTATGTTCAGGGAAGAAAAATCTTCATTTATAAAAACATTCAAGTTAAAGATGAATTTTTAAATGTTATTAGGAGAAACTATCCAAGTATTCAGCAGACACTAAAAAAATCCTTCAAGGTTTTAAGGCAGTGATGTCTAATAGAACTTTCTACAACAATGGAAATGTCTAATATCTGCATTTCTCAATGTGGTAACCAATAGCCGTATGTGGCTATTAAACCCTTAAAATCTGGCTAGTGCAACAGAGGAACAGAACTTTTAATTAAGTTAGTTTAAATTAAAATTTAATAGCCACATGGGCTAATGCCTACCATAATGGATGACGTAGTTTAAGGTAAGACTTTAACAGACGTACAAAACAGCTTTTTCTGATATTCTGGATCTAAAATTATTCTCTTGCTATTGTTTCTAAAATACCACTGGTGATAAATGAAAGAAATTTTTAAATTGCTCAGATCATCTTCCCAGCCAACATTTTGAAAGGCAATTTTCTTTAGATATGTGAATTGTTATGAATTTCTGAAAGAACATCAGTGAGGTCTTGAATCTTGTATAGAGAATGTATCATTAAATTTGTAATAATAGACCAGCTTTTTCCATACAAGCTGAAACAAAAAAGGACAAACTACCAAAAATTATTTGTTGTCAAATGTGTTAATTTTCAGAATATAGGAAGGGTAAGGTAATTTAAGAAATACTTGAGTATCTTTAAGTGCAAATTCACAGAAAAATGTTTTCCTTTCATAAGCAAGTAACAAGTTGATTTTGAAAAAGTTGCATGAAATAGATGTTCTTAATTTATAACTAAATATTCAAACCAAGGACCGCATTTGCTTCATAATGTTGCCAAATTGTATGCTTTTTCTGAAGCAAAACAGTTATAATACATGTTGTTCTCAGGAATCAGGTAAATAAAAGAAAAAAACAATACCAGATCTCTAACAAAGAAAGCCTCAGTGAAGTGATAATGTTTTTTCACACTTAATTAAAAAGAGATCTTTGAAACTGAGTAAAAGTTGATGATCTTAAAACAATCACTAGTGTGCTTTAAGAGTACACTAGTTATAAGCTGGCCTGAGTTTACCTGCCGAGTGCCCCAAAGATTTTATTGTTCTTTTTGTAACAATTTCTAAATCAGAATCGGAATGATATACATTGGCATAAATGTAAGATCTACTCATTGTAAGAATGAAATCTCATTTCTGCCTACAATATTAGTGACTGACTTTTTCTTAGCTTGATAAGTGAGAAAGCATTCTAACCAGAACCCCTGCCTGTCTCGTGCAGGTATTTTCCACACAGCTGTCCATGTAAGCTCTCTAGAATGCAAACCTCATTCTGTCACCAAGCTCACAAACAATTCATGGCATCCCAGTGCCTACAGGATAAAGTCTAAGCTCTTCAGTGAGACAGGGGACCCGCCACAATCTGACTTTTGCCTACCCTCTATATCTCTTGCAGCTCTTTGCTTTTTGCCAACTGCTGCGCTTCCTGGCAGATATCACCCTCTGTCTCTTGTGCCTTTGCTCCCACCATATCCTTGGTATGGAGTGCCTGCTCATCTCAATCCCCCAATTTGTCTGGTTTTCAACTTCCCTTTTGAGACTGATTGGATATACTTTTATTAGTGAGAGAGAAAAAAGCAACCCCAGGTTGTTGTCACCTGAACTGGCCAGCTTCTATCAACTAGGTCAGGGTGTTTGACCATTGAACTTGAACAAAGCCACTCTGCAAACATGATGGAATGAGACAAAAACAAGATCACTCTATAATCATGTCTGAGCACAGACAAAAACATGAATGCTCTAAACCACAAAAAGGAGCAAACATCTCCTTTCCTGACTAACAGATTTAGCCCCCAACTTTTAGATAAAAATGAAGATAGCCCTGACCAGTATGGTTTAGTTGGGTATCATCCAGCAAAGCAAAATGTTGCCAGTTTGATTCCACCTCAGGGCACATGCCTGGACTGCAGGTTCAGTGCCCAGTTGGGGTGTATACAAGAAGCAAACGATCCATGTTTCTCTCTCACATCGATGTTTCTCTCCCTCTCTTTCACCCTCACTCCCCCTCTCTCAGAAAATAAATAAGTAAAATTAAAAAAATTAAGACAAATATAGAATTGCTGCTGCTGTCCAACAGCACCACAACAGTAGTGCTGTCTTATGGCACTGCATCACGCAGCCTATACAGTATTGAAATTCTGTTCCTTAATGCCTGTCTCTTTTTGGAAATCACAGATCTCACAAGAACCATGTCTTGTTCATTGTCTTTCTGTCATTAATTTTTAAATTCTCAGTACCTGAAGAAGAACCTAGGATGTAGTAAGTTCTCAAAAAATGTTTAAAGAATGAATAAAGTACAGCAGATATTGTGGATCCAAGATTTAATCCTCCTAACTCCTCTTGCTTCTGAATATTCTACTTTCTGAGCATATGAAAGAACAAATTAACTTAGATTTGGATAATGGACAGATTTAGAAACACATCAGGTGGAGAAAGCTTTAACAAAAAATCTAAAATTAAAAAGTTTCCTAAGCCCATAAACATAATAATAAAAGTATTGTGAAAGTAATAATAAAAGTAATAATAATAAAAGTAATAATAAAAGTAAATAAAGTATCGGAACAAATTAGCCAATGGCCATTAATGCTGAGAAAATGTGACAGAACATATCAAGTTTTATGTGGCAAGACTTGTTTATAAGGCATTAAATTCTTTTTATCTGTTCCTTAAAGGAAAAAAGTGGGTAAGTCATTTGATTCAAATCACAAAGGACATCAAGCTCTCAAAGCAACTTTCCTTATTACATTGCTGATTTCTTCTAAGTTTTTGCCAACCTTTAGCAAAGCCCAAGAGATGCCATATTTGCTAAAGCTAAGCAGTTTGTGGAGGCATTTGTAGCAAAATTTAAAAACTTAAAAGAAATGTAAATGAGTGAATGTTTAAATACTGCCTGGCTATACTATATGTAAAAATTGAAAATATCAATAATAATAACATAATGGGCAATAAAAATTTTAAATGAAATATTTTATAGACTATATATACTTTAAATTTTCCTAATGTTTTCATATTATTCTTTTATTTTCCCAAAAGGCAAATATTTTCTTCCATAGCTTGAGTACTTACTATATGAAATTATGGCAGACTTTTATTTCTGACTTGCTTTTGTGTTTAATAAAACATAAAATTTTTTCTAAAGAGGGCAAATAGGTATATATTATATTATTATATATGATAATAAGTGGGCTGTCCTCATTAAATCACAGTCATTTAAAATACAGATAAAAACATACCAATTAGTCTTCTAACAACTAACATTTAGAATAAAGCTATAAGTAACACATTTATATTTCCTTTAATAAGTAACACATTTTATTTTCTACTAATTAAGAAGAAAAGATATACTTAAGATTCACTTGATAATCACGCTAGAACAGCAAATTTAAACTGGTGAGCTGCAGCACAGAGGTGTGCTGCAGGAATTTTTAAAGCATGTAATACCTGACTATTTAGTCAGGGCACTGACTTCTTTTCCCTTAGATTGTCAAATAAAAAAAAATGACAACAGCCAACACAATAGCTGTCTGGTGCGAATGAATCATATTACCATTTTTTTTCTGTCAGATTGGCAAAAAATATATTTTATGGTGTGTTTCAGAATTTTAGTAATTAGTTTATATGTGCCATGATGAAAAATGTTGAAAATCACTGCTCTCGAAGGTTTAAAATTAAAAAGTATTTTTTCATAAATTTAATCTAGAGAGAATTGGAATTTCTCAGACAAAACAAACCAGTATTTTGTACATTTATTTCATTTGCCTGCCCCACTTTGCCTAGTGAGCAATGCACAATAAAAATATCTATTAAAAATGGTATCTTAGGCTTCCAGGTCAGATAGTGGCACAGTCAAAGAAAAAAAATTGGTATCTTAATTCTGAAGAAAAAGAGCTTTTAAAATTATTTTTAAAATATGCTGAAGTCCTTACCTGATTTTTTAATGATGAACGAATGTATTCCTTTTCTTGGTGGGAGATTGTCCTGTGAGTTTCTGGTGTATCACTAACTAACCAGATCCATAAAACAAACCAAATGATTCCAACTATACCTTACAACAGACAAATAATAGTTAAGAAAAGTTAGAATGCACCAACAGCAACTTTTAAATGTCTTGAAAAAGTCATGTCATTATAAACTCAATGTAAATTTGGTTTCAGTTTAGTTTTTGTTTCAAGTTCCTCTTATAATTTTTTAATGGGATAGTTGCTATCTGGATTATTTCCTATAAATTTTGAAGACAACAACTTTTAACCATATGACTCTGCCTATCAGAGTATACCAGAGAAATCTTTTATTTATTTATTTGCAAAAGTTTATTTAGAAAGTCAGAGGTAGAAGAGGTGAGCCATGGAAGAAATGAGCTGGCTGTGTTTTGTGGGCTCAGAAATCGAGTTACAGAGGCCAAAGAGGAGCCCTTGGAGCTTAGGAAACACAAAGGCAGAGAGACTGTGCCAGTGGGGAGGAAACAGGGAGAGGGGAAAGGCACGGTGTACTCCAGAGAGACAGAGCAGGCCCTGGGGAAAGTAGGGAGTGGGGAAAGATGTGGGCATGCTCAAGAGAGAGAAAGAGCATGCTGACAAATCTTTTAAAATATAAATTTACATAACCTCTTATTTCCACAGGCATGTTATTGTTTATTGATTTTTTTTGCTTTGACTGCAGATAGACTTCCTGCATAAAATGTTTGTGTGGTAACCTAATTTATTAAAAATGTGTATATCATGCTAATGAGATTGAGAAATAAAAGGCCCTGGACAAGATTAGAACTACCAAGTGAAAGCATCTTACTTTGCTTGAGAAGGAATTTTTCAAAATATACCTATCTATAATGTCCAACATAGTAATTTCTGTTAGAAAGTATAGTATTTAAGTCCTGGATTCAACAGCAGTTTCTTTCGAGATATTCCAAAAGTAATATCCAGTCAAAACTTAGCTAGATCATTTTAACCATATTAACTTAAAACACAAGTTAGTAGTGTTTTAGAGCTTTGTGATTTAGGAGATGATTACTTCCATGAGTTAGAATATTTATTTTTAACCAATTATGGGACTACTATTACACTTTGGATTTTTATTTTATTGATTATGCTATCACAGTTGTCCCAGTTTTTCCCCTTTTCCTCTGTCTACCCAGCACCCCCCACGCACTCAGACCTTCCCCACACCATTGTTCATGTCCATGGGTCATGTGCATAAGTTCTTTGGCTACTCCATTTCCTATACTGTATTATACATCCTCATGGCTATTCTGTAGCTACCTGTTTGTACTTTTTAATCCCCTCACCTCTTTACCCATTCTCCTACACCCATCTCCTATTTGGCAACCACCGAAAACCTCTCTGTGTCCATGATTCTGTCCCTGTTCTTTTTTGCTTAGTTTATTTTTTAGATTCAACTGTTGATAGAAATGTATTTTTACCATTATTGTTCATAGTTTTGCTCTTCTTTTTCTCAAATAAGTCCCTTAACATTTCATTGAATAATGGTTTGGTGATGATGAGCTCCTTTGGTTTTTTCTTGTCTGGGAAGCTCTTTATCTGCCCTTTGATTCTAAATGATAGCTTTGCTGAGTAGGGCAATCTTGGCTGTAGGTCCCTGCTTTACATGACTTTGAATATTTGTTGCCAATCCCTTCTAGCCTGCAAAGTTTCTTTTGGGAAATCAGCTGACAATCTTATGGGAACTCCCCTGTAGGTAATTAACTGCTATTCTTTTGCTGCCTTTGAGATTCTCTGTCTTTAAACTTTGGCATTTTAATTATGATGTGTCTGGAGTGGGTGTCTTTGCATCCATCTTGTTTGGGACTGTCTGTGCTTCCTGGACTTGTATGTGTATTTCCTTCAATAAATTAGGGAAGTTTTCTTTCATTATTTTTTCAAATAGATTTCCAATTTCTTGCTCTTTCTATTCACCTTCTGGTATTCCTATGATGTGAATGTTGAAATGCCTGAAGTTGTCTCAGAGGCTGTTTACACTATCCTGCTGGTTCTGTGGCTCTGTGGGGGGGAAGGTGCAGAAAAGGGACAATGGCCTCTGCCTGCCTTTCTGTCTGGGAGAAGGCTGTTCCCCACCTCTTGCCTTGATGTCACACATTTCAGCTCCTCCTTGTATGCCACTTGTGACTTTCGAGCTGCTACCCCAGTGCTGGAGCTCAGAGCGGGTGAGTCTGTGGGGTGAGTCTGTTCATAGTAAGTTTGTGTATGGGTTCTTTATGAGGAACTGCTTGGGACTACAGAAGTTTCTTCCACCAACTCAATCCCTGCTGGTTTTCACAGCCGGAAGTTATGGAGACTTATCTTCCTGGCACTGGAACCCTGGGCTGGAGGGCCTGGTGTGGGGCTGGGACTCCTCGCTTCTGGGATATCCCTCCCAAATATTTATCCACCACACATGGATGTGGGACCAGTCTGTTCCACATCTCCAAACCTCCTACCAATCTGGATGGATGTGGTTTATTTAATTCTGTAGTTGTGGAACTTCCATTCAACTTGATTTCTCACAGTTCTGAGTGATGGTTGTTCTATAATTTAGTTGTAGTTCTGATGTGGTTGTGTGAGGAGGCAAGTCATGTTTACCTATGCTCTGGATTTGTTACACTATAATTAAGGTTAAAATTTTCAATCAACTTACCAAAAAAGTAGAAGACATAAGTCCAATTCATATAGAAGCAAATTATTCCAGAAAGAGGAAGAGAAATTACTGTCCCAAGCTGTGCTCCTGGAACAACAACAAAGACTTTGTAAACTCTTCAGAGAGATGAATAGAGGGACAAGTTACAGTTTAAAGAAGATGGGTAACAAATAATGGAGAAGAGAAGGAATGATTCAGATCCTACAAGGGCTGAATTAGTCACATGTAAAATACAAACAACCTATTTTCTTAAGGAATCATTTACTAGAAAACCTACAACATGTAAAATGTATATGCTAATATGTAGTTCCATTAACAGCTACGTAGTTATTGATGAATTAGAAGGCATCAATCAATATAAGACCTAATAAATGCCACATGTGTTAGAAATTAGGTATCTGGGGTTCAAAGATGGTTTCTAAGGCTGATAAACATGACCTAGAGTAGAATGCTTGATGAAATAAGAATAAAGCTTTTATTTTTTTATTTTATTTTTTTTTAAAGATTTTATTTATTTATTTTTAGAGAGGGATGGGAGGGAGAGAGAGAGAGAGAGAAACATCAATGTGCAGTTGCTAGGGGTCATGGCCTGCAACCTAGGCATGCTCCCTGACTGGGAATTGAACTTGTGACAATTTGGTTCACAGCCCGTGCTCAATCCACTGAGCTACACTAGCCAGGGCTTAGAATAATTTGCCCCCAATATATTAGGAGCAATTATTTCAGATAAATAAATAATAAAATTCATTTTAACCACCAAACACAAGACATCTTAGTTTGTATGGTAGAGCTAAAATAATCAGATATTGTTTCTTGGCTCAAGTTTTGGTCTTACTACCACATTTTAGAAAGTGTTAAATGTCACAGAGCAATATGAATTTTCAAATATGAGACAGATTTCCTCTGACTTTCAGAGGTCAGGAATAGATGTAAGAAGCAGCAATGGACTTTGAAAAGATAGGTAAGAAGATACAGAGGGTGCTGTAACAGGCTGAGTAAAGGAATGAAAGCAGGAAAGCAGAGAGTAGGTTTGAGAACTTCATTTAGGTAAAGGAAGGAATAGGAAATAAGAGCTGGAAAAATAAGTCCAATGGTTACTGAATATCTACTCCATGCCAGGTACTATGTGCCAGGGCATAGGCCAGTTGAAATGAAGTAGAACTGTTGACTACTAGTTCAAGTTTAGCCTGTATCCAATAGGTTAAGCTCCTCTTGAATTTAATATCATATTTCTCATGTCAATCTCTACCCAGCTGCAAGAATCATCTTAAAATATAAACTGGTTTATGTCTTTCTCTGGATTAGAAACCTCTGATGTCTCCCCATTCTATTTTTGAAAAAAAAAATCCTTATTCTTTCCTGTAGTTTGTGAGACCTGATGTTATCTGGCTCTTGCCTATTTCTCTAGGCTCTTATGCCATATTTCTTATATTCATTATGTTTTAGCCACCTATAGTGTTTTCATTTCTTTGAACCCTTATATATTTCTTGCCTGAGAGCCCTCGTGCATGCTGTCTGATAACCTGGAATGCTCTTTGCATGACTAGTTCATTCTTATCCTTTAAATTTTAGCTAATAAGTCACCACAGAGAGGCCTTTCTGAACCACTGTGTAAAAGCAGTCAGGTCAAACAGTTTTAATTCAGTTAATGTAGGAAAGGCTAGAGTTCTTGTGTAATCTGGTAAAATTATAATTCACATATAAAGCTCATGCTATCTCACTTATAGATCAAAATGATGGCAAATAAATGCATAGAAAAAAGATATATGAACAGAAGGGGTGAGAGTCATGATGTGTGAATTAGACGATAAAATTAGAAATCACAGTTTAAAAGGATAAGTGTTTAATTTTCCAGCCATTGTATTTTTTAATAAAACATAGCATTCTGTATACCAGAACATGAAAAGTCAACATTTTTTAAATGATGGAAGATGAAGAAAATGGCATTAGTTAATAAAGTCACATTGCTATATACAGTTGAGCCAAACAAAAAAGTTAATAATAAAGTTATACCCCAAAACTTAATTTTTCCCCAAAGAGGGCATCTCACAGTGTATGATTCTAGAGTGCAGACACTTTTTCTCCAAGGTTGATATGTACATAACAAGTGATAGCAGAAACTTTTATAAGAATAGTTATCTCACCTGCATATGAAATACTAAGAAGCTTGCTTCTTTCAAGAGGGGGAGACCAAGAAGACCACATGGCATGCATGGCCGGAAATGTAACACCCTGAGGAGGGAAAAAGTATATTTCTGATGAAATATAAGGTAGTTTTGTTAATGTTTTAAGTTGTGTTGAATTTTATTGCAAGAGAAATTTCTGGATAAAGATCAAACTAAAATCAGGTTCCATGAAGTGAGATGTCTTCACAACGTTAAGTGAAAATACTTTATAATGAAGTACTTTCAAAATCTGAACAAAGATTTGTGGATTCTGCCAGCTGGTGTGAAGACTAAGGTAAGGGTTACAATAGATCTAAAAGAATGTACTGAATGATGACACAAAGTATTCTTCTAAAGGTTAATTTTACTCATTCACGTTATTAGTGAGCTGAACAAAATGGGAATGTTACCAGTATATAACTTTGAAAAATATTGAGCTAATACTGTGGGATACTGTAAGAAATTCAAATTGATCTTAATTGACAGGAAAAATGGTCTGAAAAAAAAATGAATTCAATCATAGTGTTTATAGTCTTTTTTTTCCTTTCTGGGATAACTAGTCTAGTAAATGCCAATTATGATATGGAAAGGTAATGGAGCAGTGGAGGCCGGAGGCTCACAGAGACTTGGGAGAGGAGGAAATGCTACAGGACAATGGGAGTGAATAGGTTTTGGTAGATTCAAAGCAGTGTGGGTTCACGGCCCTTCTTCGTCACTCTCTAACTGTGTAGCCTCAGTTATTCTTCTTGAACTTCAGTATCTTTGTAAAACAGGGATAATACTCCTTATCTTGCATGATTGTTGTAAAAATAAATTGCAGCTAGTGCTATTATTAATGGAGAGAATACATGCTTTAATACTTTGTGGTTCCTGCTGATTCTTTCCGAAAGAAAGAAGAAAGAAAGAAAGAAAGAAAGAAAGAAAGACCAATAGAAACAAAAATGATTTAGGTAGCATTCCAAATTGGTAAGAATCTGTATCATTGAGCAACAGGAGTCATTATAGAATAAATATTTAGATGTTTGGAAATGTCCACAGAGATTGTTAAAATTTTTATTATAAAACCTAGGGACAATGTAGGTATGTTTATGGTGGATCAGATGCTAGGGATGAAAGATGCTGACCTAAGTTTATGGATGAGGAAATGTACATGTGATATATATTGAAGGAATAAAGAAAGACGAACAAACCTAAGAACACAACTTAAATTCTATTCAGAAATAAAGCAGTTACTTGAGATAGTAAAAGTAATACAATCAATATACTATAATGCTAAATCAGTAGCATAAATAGACAGTATGATAAAATATGGAAGTATATGCAGCAAAGAGATTCAATATCTGGAACACAGGAAATATACCACAATTAAGTATTACTAAGTCAGTAAGGAGAAGAGAAACCTGGTAATATGGGGGCAGTTTTTATTGTCAGGAAGGATTTATTTAGTACACCTCTATTTGATAAGGACAAAATAAGAATCTTCAGATGACTGATCAAAGCTTAAATTTAAATAGTACTTGGAAATATCCAAAGTATTCTAGCAATCATTATCCAACTTGAGCTGTGACTAAATATGGGGCAGGTATCTTAGTCTGAATTTTAAAAAATGATGGAACTGAGGCCTAGAGATTAGGACTTACTGAATACTTTCACAGTGAAGCTGTTATTCAAATTCTGCTTTTATGACTCCAGTTAGTGGCTTTCCCACATAGCATAATACATTACTATTACTACCTAAAATAACCTTCATGCTCTACACCAAACCCAGAGGCCACTATTTTTCTTGGTTTAAAAAAAGTGTTGAGAGAGAGCAAACTACATCTATGCCTTGGTTTCACAGGTAGAAGTTCGAAGTTAGAAACAAAAGGAGATCATTATTTAAAGATGAAGGTACATATGATGAAATGCAAAGGAGAAGTGGAAAGGAAAAAAGATAAGGAATTAAAAATTTTAAAAATGATAAAAGTGTTGGGGGGGAGAAAAAGAAGACATAAAATTAATAGTAACAATTCTAAAAGGAACAAAAAGACCAGAAGAATCACAAAACCAAAGAAAGTTATATAAAATGATAATCTGTCTCTAAATTAGGGGATCAGAAAAAAAGAACAAATGATAAAGAGGAAGTTATTTCAATAGCAAGAAATTTAAAAGAAAAGACAATTCAATAATCTACTGTATAACATGCGTTTTAGATTTTGTGCAATGACACAGCAGAGATAAACTGTGGCAAAAGTTCAGGAGATCTGTCTTAACTTTTTTAATAGTGTTTTGTTTTCTTGTCTCCTGTAATAAGAGAGTAGGGAGAGCTGTAAAATGTCTCCTGGAAAATGTTTTCTCTACTTTTTGAGTAAAGCTGTCAATTTCAGGGTGCTCCCACTCCAGACTTTATTGACCACAAAAGAAATCTACTCAAGTTAAAAAATAAATCCCTATTATCTTCCAGTATCAATTTTTGGTTTATGTTCATACCAAAGAATGATATCTTTCAGAAGATAAGAAAGCGATATAGGGTAAGAAGAAAAACAGAAGACAAAAAAATTACCTCTCCTAGTCCTTCTAGTGCTCTGAGCACAATGAGAGCTCCAACTCCAAAATCTGCAGCAATGGGAGTAAACAGGGTGAAGACAGCAGTGCCAAGGATCCCAAATCCTAGCAGTAGTTTCCCCCCTACTTTGCTGGCAACATATCCTCCAGGAATCTGTGTGATGATGTAGCCATAAAAAAAAGAACCGAGAATCCATCCTTGAGTTTCTGCATCCCATTGGTACCTTTTACCCTACAAAGAGTAGAAGGAAAAAAAAAATCCAACCCTTTAAGACCTTGATTAAACAGCTCCCTTATCTTACTGGCATGTAAGTATATAAAAATGTACAATAATTCTGAACCACTGTTTTAGACGGAAGCACATACAACTTTCTACAAGGTTGGTTGAGTCACCATGATACAGACATGCAGTCTCTAGAAGTGAGTGGAAAGTAACTGTAAATCAAAAACTACACAAAGGCTTGCTATTTTATGAAACTAGACTGCAGGATAAGTTGCAGAGACTTTGTAATGACCATGACCAAGAAGGCTCAAAAAAGAGGCACAGGCTTAATTCAGAAAGCTACTAAGTAGGAGGATACTGTAATGGCTCAGTCATGCTTTGAGGCCAGGCCTGGGTTCCAGGCTAGCTCTGTTACTTACTGGACTTATGTTCTGGGAAAATTAAATGAAAAAGGCATGTAAAATAAGGCCAGATACATACTAAGTGTTCACTTAATGTTGACTATTAGATAAATATAGATCATTAATATCTCCACATTTCAGACCAAGCATTTGAATGAACAAGAATTTAAACCAAGCCACAAACTTCATGTGACTAGAAAATGTCTTTTAACTAGCAGGAGCACATAGTAAGGTAATAATGAACATTTGGTAACTGATCTGAATAACTGACATCTTTAATACACGTAGCTGTATGATGGAGCCTACATGTCAAGAATCATTTGAGGATTTCTTTTTAGTGAGGCTGATGAGGATAAGTAGCTAGAGCAACAAAAGCACTTGCTAAAGGGAAAGATACAAAGCAAATCCTAATTGTTCTTATTTATGGTACTAATCTGTAGCTTATTTGTACAATTCTAGAGCTTTAGTTATACAGTTATACATCATAGGTTGGAGTGGTGAAAAGTGGGTGGTATGTACCCAAATATGTATTTAGCAACATTATTTAAGTCAAATATAAAGATTTTTGATATCATTATTTTGTACATGTGCTTTTTTGGGCTGAAAAACCTCTTCCCTGCTTGAATGCTCTTGTTTATAATGGCAGAGGAGACTCACCCAAGTGTGATCTGACTCCTTTGTGAACACTGAAAATGGATGAAAATATAAGCATAAAAAAAGACACCAGGCTTTTCTCCCTGTACTGTCTCCCTGTGTGATAAGCAAAATAAAATACAGTCATGTGCCACATAATGACATTTCAGTCAATAATGGAACACATACAGGATAGTCGTATCCTACGATTATAATGGAGCTGAAAAATTTCTACCACCTAGTGACACTGTAGTGCAACACATTACACAAACACTTAACATCGTGTTACAATTGCCTACAGTATTTAACATGGTAACATGCTGTACAGGTTATAGCCTAGGAGCTGCAGGGAGAATTTGCCACCCCAAAATATTTCTATTTAGCATAAGGATTATTTTAGGATGGTCAATTGTATTTTAAACAGCAGATATGGGAGAAGCTCTGAAAACCAAGTAGAAGTCAGCCTTTTAAAAGACACTTAGATCTGTAAGATCTGCTATTTGAAAGGATGTTCCCTCTCTGTACCTGGAAGGTGGGGGATGACCTCGTCTCTAAAAGCTCTAATCGATAAAGAAGAAAATGACTTAAATCTCCACAACAAACTTACTCTTGTTTACTGAGCTTTTCCTTTTATTCTGACAAACAAGCAAACATTCTACAAGGTAGTTGAGCCACCATGATTAGGCATGCAGTTTCTAGAAGTAGGTACATGGAAAATAACTGACTTCCCAGGTCCCCAGCATTTTCTTTTGTCTTCATCTGAAGGTGGTATTTAAGGTGGTGGCTCCAGTCATTTTGTCAAGTAACTCAGTTTTCCTGGGTCTCTCCCACGTATAAAGGAAGCATACATGCTATTAAACTTTCGTTTTTCTCCTGTTAATCTAGATTTTATTACAGATATGTCTAGCCAAGAACCCATAAAAGTGGAGGGAAAATTACTTTTCCTCCCCTACACTGCAATAGCCATTATAGCTTAGGTGTGTATTAGGCTATACTATCTAGATTTGTGTAAGTGCACTCTGTGATGTTCACACAATGGCCTAATGATACATTTCTCAGAATGAACCCTTGTCGTTAAGTGGCACATGATTGTATTTAAAGTGTTTAAAACTCAATTCTCAACAAATGATGAACACACACTTATCAATTCTACTATAACATGAGACAGGCAAAATGACTTATGTAACTTAGCTTTAGGCTTGTATAAATTTTGGAAAAGAATGTCCTAAGAAATTGCTCTGATCTTATTTTTCAGTCTGTAGTTGAGATTATCTAAACTCTCTTGAAATAGTAGCCCTTATAAGTAAAACAGCTGTTAAGTAATAGTATTACAAAAGCTATTGAGCAATATCTTAAACAATCAAACTTTCTGATGTGAGGGAAGAAATTTTCTCCTACCCTCTAGGTTCTTTGGCCAGTCTAATAATTAGATGTACATGGAAAGATTATCAAGAGAAAATAACCAAATTTAATTATGTAGGTGTGGGAACCTACATACATGAGAGAGTCAGAGACCCCACATACCTGAGAGGTTCAGAAACATACAGGGAAAATGAAGTATATATGACTTTCTGAACTGAAGAAAAGGTAAGGCACCTAGGGGGAGGAAAGTCACTGCAGAACAATTAGAAGAGCAGATGTTCAGTAATTAGATGTCTGCCCTGGTTATTTCTGGTAATAACTCATTATAGGCAAAGGCCCCTAATTTAAATTCTTTAAGGGAGAGGTAAAAGTTTCTCACAAGAGTGCAACTCAAAATAATTTACACACAAAAATGGCACATCTTGGGATGGCCTGTTCTGAATCCCTTCAGTCCCGCCTTTGAAACTTCCTGAGAAGTTATGCATTATAGAAGCTAGGTTGATAGATTGTTCCATATCTCATTAAACTAGTCTCTTAGTCTTTCAGTTTAATTAAACAGTTGTATCTAATTTCAGAAGCCAGTGGTACAGGTGGGTTCCGAAGTTAGGCCTATGGTGCAAACAATCAGGTATTTAAGAGATATCCTTATGGAAACAGAAGAAAAACAATAGTTAATGATTTAGCAGACTATTAATCCCAGTTTCTGAGTTTTGAAGGCAGACAGTCAAGAAGATTTCTAGATGTCTGGCTTGAATCATTTTCAGATGGAGTGAAGATTAGTGACAGTCAGTGACAATTTGATAGATTTCTCCTGGTTTGAGGTTTGAATGTGTCTGGTGATCTTTCTGTAATAGGCACAACCATATATAAGTTGTTGTGGTAATTTCTCTGAAGTTTATTTACATCCAGTTGTCCAACTTTAGCTCTCATGGCTTTGGGAAAAGGGCAGTTTCACTTCTCATTGGTCTCAAGTCACAGGGCTTTGAACTGCTTCTACAGTTGCCTTTCTGGTTTCGCAGATTTGTAAGAAGATAGGGACAGTTATTCACTTTTTAAAATTATATTTTATTGTTTATGCTATTATAGTTGTCTGATTTTTTTCACCCCCTCTATCAACCCCCCAACTCCTTCAGGCAATCCCCACACTGTTATCCACGTCCATGGGTCATGCATATATGTTCTTCAGCTACTCTTTTCCCTATGCTGTACTTTGCATCCCCATGACTATTTTGTAACAACCAATTTGTACTTTTAATCCCTCCAACCTTTTTCACCCATCCCCCCCCAACTCCCTCCCATCTAGCAACCATCAAAATGTTCTTTGTATTTATGATTCTGTTTCTGTTCTGCTTATTCTCTTTTTTAGAATTGTTGATAGATATGTATTTATTGCCATTTTATTGTTCATTTTTTGATCATCTTCTTAAGGAAGATCCTTAAGCATCTCATATGATACTAGTTTGGTGATGATGAACTCCTTTAGCTTTTTCTTGTCTGGGAAGCTCTTTATCTGCCCTTCAATTCTAAATGATGGCTTTGCTGGGTAGAGTAATCTTGGTTTTAGGTCCTTGTTTTTCATCACTTTGAGTATTTCTTGCCAATCCATTCTAGTCTGCAAAGTTTCTTTTAAGAAATCAGCTGACAAGTCTTATGATGTGTCTTGGTGTAGGCCTTTTTGGGTTCATCTTGTTTGAGACTCTCTGTGCTTCTTGGACTTGTATATAACACCAAATTTAGGGAAGTTTTCTGTCATTTTTTCAAATAGGTTTCCAACTTCTTGCTCTCTCTTCTCCTCCCAGCACCCCCATGACATTAATGTTGGTATGCTTGAAGTTGCCCCAAACACTGTTCATACTATCCTCATTTTTTTTATTGTTTTTCTTTCTTGCTGTTCTGATTAGTTGTTTTTGCCTCATATTCCAAATTGCCTTCTTATATTCTGATTCTTGGCCTCATTCACTGCACTGTTGAGTCCCTAAAAATTGTTCTTTATTTCAATTAGTGTATCCTTTGTTTCTGCCTGGATCTTTTTTATACTGTTGAGGTCCTTACTAAGTTCCTTGAGCATCCTTAAAATCAGTGTGTTGGACTCTTCATCTAGTAGATTCCTTGTCTCCATTTTGTTTAGTTCTTTTTCTGGAGTTTTAATCTGGTTTTTCATTTGGGCCATGTTTCTTTTTCTCCTCATTTTGGCAGCCTCCCTGTGTTTGTTTCTATGTATTAGGTAGAGCTGCTGCATCTCCCAGGCTTGATAGAGTGGCCTATTGTAGTAGATATTCTGTAGGGTCCAGTGGCACAGCCTCTGCTATTACCCAAGCTGGGTACTCAAGGTATGCCTACTGTGTGAACTGTGTACAGCCTTCTGTTATAGTTGAGCCTTGATTGCTGTTGGCACATCCAAGGTCAGCCAATAATTGTGTTCTGTCCAGAGTCACACAGCATTAGCTACAAAGCAATTTGCAGATGGTTCCTACTTGTGCTGAGCTTGGAGGTACCCAGGAGAGGCCCAGCTGTGAACCATGGCTAGCTGCTGCTACTGCTGGGTTTGGAGCCACTTAGTGAGAGGTATGGGGCCTGCTAAAGCTAGGTGCTGCTTGGTTGAAAAAATTTAGAAAACTCTGAAGCATGGGCTAAGATAAGACATTCATATAGAGAAGCCACTGGAAACAGCTTGTGTGGGCCCAAAAGTTGGCTGAGGCAGGGACAACTTTTTGGGGAATCACCAGGTTGGGGCAAACAGTATGTGCCAGGTTGATGGAGTCTCAAATATGGTCCCCGCCTGCCAGCTCTGTGACTGTGTGGGGAGGGACAATGGCCTCTGCTAGCACTTTTGTCTGGGAGAAAGCTGTCCCTTCTCCCCCACCCCTGCTGCCAGCTCTAGCCCTTATGAGTGATGCTGGACAATTCAGTTTTTCCCCATATGTCTCTGATGTCTTTCAATCTACTGCTCCCGTGCTGGATTTCAGAGGGAGTGAGTCCAAGTAAATTTGTGCATGGGCCCTTTAAGAGAACTGCCTGAGATTCTAGCAGTTTATGTCTCCCACAACCTCAATCCCTACTGGTTTTCACAGCCAGAAGTTATGGAGACTTCTCTTCCTGGCACTGGAACCCTGGGCTGGGAAGTCTAGTGTGGGGCTGGGACCCCTCGCTCCTGAGATATCCCTCCTGCTTTTTGATCTGTCACATACGGGTGTGGACCAGCCTGTTCCACATCTCTGCCACTCCTATCAGTCTTAGTGCGGTTTCTTCCTTAATTCTGTAGTTGGTTTCTTCTTTAATTCCACAGTTTTAGGACTTCCATTCAGCTTGATTTCTGATGGTTCTGAATGATGGTTGTTCTATGGTTTAGTTATAATTTTGATGTGGTTGTCTGTCTGAGAAGGCAACCATGTTTAATCATGCCACCATGTTTACTGTAAATCAGGACGGTTATTCTCAATTCCTCAAGGAACTTAAGGAACAACTTAAGTGACAACTATGTCTTCCTAATTTGCTTCTTTCCTTAAGTGACAACTATGTCTTCCTAATTTGCTTCTTTCCCTCTAAGAATATATTTTTATTTTAGTTTAGGAGAGGAGGCTTTTTGTTTTAAAAATTCCTGTCAGGTTTTGAATCTCTAGCTTCCAATTTTGTCAAATTTCTGATTAAAAAGTTTCAAGTTTTTTGTTGGGTTTCAGCTGGAAGAAACAGTAAATATTTCTGGCAGTAATAAACAATACCATGGAGTTACAGGTGTTCAGACAGGCCCCCCAAAATGTGCCTTGGAATGTGAATTATTTTGAGCTGAAGACAATTAAGACCCTGTAGGCTCATGAGAAATTTTACCTCTCCCTGAAAGAACTAGGGGACTTGCTCATAATGAGTTACCACAAGAAATAATGTTTTATGACCTATCTATAGAGCAGAGCAAATTTCTAATTTCTAAAGATCTGCTCTTCTTACAGTCCTACAATGATGTTTTGAAACCCCCAGGGCACCTCACCTCATACTTAGCTCAGAATGCCATATATGCCTCATTTTAATTTTCTGTCCCTGAAGCTATCACGTGTGTAAGGTTTCTCACTCTCTCATACATGTGGGAATCCCATGTGTATGTATGTTTTAAATTTTGTTATTTTCTCTTGTTAATCTGTGTCATGCCTATTTGGTTATTAGGTCAGCCTAAAGAACCAGCAGGGTAAAGTTTCTTCCTTCCCCACAGACTGAAGAGGATGCAAAAGTCATTGCCTCCTGGAGTCATTCCCTTTGATAGTTAAAAGAAAGAACTGACAGCTTGCATGTCCCAGGCAGGAAGAAAGCCACCCCAATCCCTTAGGACATAGGCAATAGCTATTCCTAGGGGAAAAAAGGATCAATAACTAATTGGTCTGGATTTGGGAAGGAAGGAACAACATGAAATTTTATTTCCCTCTCTAACTGGGCTCATGAGGTAAATCATTTACAAAAACTTTTGAGCCTCTTCTCTGAGTTTAAAGATTCTAGGTACCTTTTATCTCTTTAATTTTTCATTAGCTCTTTCCAACAATCATTCAATGAATACATAGGGCATTCTGAGCTAAAGATGAGGGGAGGCACCTTTGAGCTTCACAGGAGAGGAAATCACTGAAGAAGGATAGAACAGATGTTCAATAATTAGAAGTTTGCTCTCCCCTACAGACAGGTCATAAAAAGTTACTTCTGGTGATAACTCTTATTATGAACAAGGCCCCTAATTTAAGTTTTTTAAGGGAGAAGTAGAAATTCCTCATGAGTTCACAGGGTCACAACTACCTTCAGCTCAAAATAATTCACATGCCAAAGTGGCACATCTTGGGGAGGCCTGCTCTGAACCCCTTCACTGGAAGGTCAAACAGGTTTTTCCAAATTTTCTTCAAGGATGATGTTTATAGAGGAAATGGACAAACAACTTTTCGGACAGCACAGGAGCAATAGCTAGGTTATAAGTTTACTGTCCAACCAGTTTCTGGAAAGACACAGATAAAGTGATTCAGAATTTACATGAAGAAGTGTTTTTTTTTTAATTGGATGAAGAAAGATCTTTCAGTATGTTTACCTGGCTATATTTTAGAATTAAAATTGTTTGCTTAAAAAACAGTACTTACCGTTTGATTATGAAGAACCTGATTGGAAGCAGAATGCTCTGCACACTCCTTAGAAGTTTTATTATCTGCCGAAGTTGTATTTGAATCTACCATATCCACTAAGGCGACACTCAGATTCACACGTAATGCATAGAGAACGAAGAAACCAAAAAAGGACAAAACTGCTAAGTTGTAACGAACAGAGCAGCATACTGGAGCTGAAATAAAGTTCGGGGAAAAACTTTCATTAAAAGAAAAACTTAGAAGATATTGTCTAAATTACTCAAAATGTTAATTTTGGAATGTACATAAATTATTAAATCATGAATATTTTTCTGAGATGATTATCAGATTAAGCATATCTAAACACACTTGTCAAAAATAATTTGTTCCTGGTACCTGTGGTTTTGATAAACATTCAACACATGAGAGCTTGCACTGTAAGAGTTTCTTAAAGCATAGAGGCAATAGCTTTGTCAACTTTTCTCAGAAAAATTTCTAGTCCAGAGTCAATATTGAACCCCTACTTCCTGTTGACTGGCAAAAATATAAGAAAAATAAGTAAGGGGGTTTAATGGCATCACTATTTCTAAAAAAAATATCTAAAACATAGCCAATAAGCCCTTGAGTACTCATTACAGCATAGCATGTATGCTCCTGACTACAGACTAGTAGCCACCACATTGTAAATGTAGCACAGCACAAAAAATTTACTGCTAATTTCATGCTGGGTGTGAAACCCTCTTGATAAATTTCTTACCTTGAAACATATCCTTAGAAGCTGCAATTGAATCAAAAGTCATAATTAATACTTAAGGCTCTCCTAAACTAAATGTATTTAAGAATCCAGAAGCAAATTTTCAGAATCTATGACAGTTGTAGCATCTGTAACAGTTGCTCAGTTGATCACGCTTAAAAGGCCCATAGCAAAAAGGGAAATAAGTGCATGTACCACAATGATTAAAAAAAAAAAGGAGCCAGTGAAAGAAGGATCATGTGAGAGGAGTCTGACCTATTTTTAACTCCAATGGTAGGCTTATGCACTATTTTCTCTTTTTTTCTTCCTTAATTGAGTTGCATAATGGGGTGAGGAAATGGGAATTCAGGAAGGGTGATTGACTCCTTAGTGACAAAAAGAACTGGCTAATCCAAGTCTTACACCTTTAAGTTTGGTGAACACAGAGTGTTTGATAACTATCTGTCTAAAGATATGAATATCTATTTCATTTGGTAATGATAAGTATATATATATGTTTTCACCTATTCAGGAATCCTGTTGTTTTTACTGACCTAACATCAAACAAGAATATATGTTTCAGAGTACTAAGGTTTTGGTACTGATTCAGACTGACCGATTCATACAGAAACATTAATGAATAGGGCACAACTATGTTTAGGTATACGTTAATATACTACAATTCTAATTTTTCCATAAGCTCTCACACACTTAAACAACTGCTATCATTTTTCCTCTGCACAAGATATACATCTTTTAACAGAAAACTTTTCATTTGGCATCTTGACTTCTTTTTTAGGAGTGGAGCTAGCAGAATTATGGCACTGCTGCCAGTTAGGTCCAGACCCAGGAGAGATGCATTTCTAAGGCTCTATTCATACTGTCTCTGTTACCAGAATCTAGATACATTTGTTCTCTGCTTCAACCAAGTGGGCAGTGGTCCAGTTAAGGAGAGTTTGAATACTGCAAGGCATGTTTAATAGGAGAACATATTTATTTTTCAATCCTCATCCAAGGATATGTTTATTGATTTTATTTTTTATTTGTTTATTGACTTTACAGAGAGAGAGGAAGGGGGAGAGAGAAACAACGATTGTTTGCCTCCTGTAAGTGCTCCGACTGGGGATGGAATCTGCAACCTAGGTATGTTCCCTGAGCAGGGAATTGAACCTGCAACCTTTCGGTGTACAGGAGGATGCTCCAACTGACTTAGCCACTCAGCTGGGGCAAGAGCACATTTATAAATCATCATTTTTGTCTCGGACAATAATAGAAGGAGTCTGATGAGTACTCATAATTTTGACAAATTTGGGTTATTAGAATGTGCTACTTTGAGTAATTTGAAGAAAGAAAAATCTAGATTTATATACAGCCTGCTTTGCCAACATACAAAGTTCATCATCTACGTCAGCAGAGGAGTGACAAGACGTGATTTATGGTTTAAAGAGTTGGTTCTCTGTTTGCTGTGTGGAGATTACAAAGGGAAGTTTGAATGGGGGCAGGGGACACAGAGTCAGGGAGATTACTGAAGGGACTATTGTAGTTTTCCAGGTAAGAGATGAAGGTGGCTTAAACTAGGCCAAAGCAGAGGCAATGGAGGAAAATGGGCAGATTTGAGATAAATTTAAAGGAAGACTGGTAGCCCTTGCCTATGTATTAGATGTGGGAGTAAGGAAAAGGGAGGAATGAAGTTATTAATTATTCTCTTACCCTAAATTTGTAATGTTATTACTCTATTCTATCCTTATTTGCAGTTACCTTATTTTACTATATGTTATTAGTTTCTCCCTACATGTTGCTTGAGTTGGAATCTGATATACCTCATCATATGAATAATATGTGAGGCTAGAAGCTTGGGAAGCAAAGGAAAGGTATGTAAAATGATTTCAAATTTTTAGTGATATTACTGAAAATCTGACATAGAAGTTATGGATCAGGCAACTTTAACTTTTGGGGGCTCATTCAATAATAAGAAAATAAAAAGCCAACACAGACGCTACAAAGTATACAAATATGAGGTTTTAAGAAATATTAAAAATAGATGGTTACTATCTTTATAAAAATGGTTGTTGATTACAAATCAGTCAGAAAAATTTTATTTCATAAAAGTATAGCAATAAACCAAAATGTGCCTGTGAATTTGGATAATGTTTGAAATTGGTTCACAAAAGCATGCCTGCATGAGGAAAAGAGATGACATCCATTAAGCATCTGACACATTGAAATCAAGTTCAAAGGAATATCATGCTTGCATAACAAACAGAGCACCCATCAAAACAAACATCAGCTTCTCAAATAGGGTTTAAATTTAGGAAATGTGGAGTGGGTATAGCTGAAAGAACACAGGCTAATTTACAGTGAGGCAGACCTGGAAATGAACTTCAGTTCCGATTTTCACTTGCTGTATACCTTTGGGGAAGTTACTTAAGTTTTCTTTCTAAGTTTTCTCAGCTTTAAAATGAGGCAATCACCATATACCTCACTGGGTTTTGTGTGGAGTAAATGAAGTACTGTAGAAGCAGTATAGTAAGCATCCAGTAAAAGTGAGTTCCTTTCCTGTTGATGCTGGAGAAAGTTATATCAATAAGATAAAGTGCCCCCGTGTGTGTGTGTATGGGAGTCAGGGAAGTCCTCTTGGAGAAAGTACACATGCACTGAGTCTTCACTAATGAGCAAAAAAGTCACCAGACAGGTTAGAGGAGGTATAAGAATGCAAACAAAGACAGCAGTATGTACAGAAGTATGGAAATAAGAAAGGCAAGCACAGGGAGAGCAGGAAACTTCAAATGATTTAATGTGGCTGGACTATGGTACTGCAGTAACTGAGAGTGGGATAGCAGGTATTGAGTTTAATAACAAAAAGTAATAGCTAATGCTTATTGAGTATTTACTAGGTACTTCTCCAAGTGTGTTGGCCGATATAAGGGTTATTATAAAGATTAACTGAGTTGGTACATGTAAAATACTTAGAACAGTGCTTAGGACAAAATAACCTTCAATAACTCTGAACTGTTATTAATTATTATTATTGCCTTTTTTTGGATAGTAAGAATTGAGGTCATTTGTTAGGAATTTAAGTTATTTCTCATTTGTGAGAGATTATGTATTGAAAAAAGAAGTCAGAAGTTGTTGAGGAGAGTAGGGGCATGAAGTTCCCAGTGAAACATACAGGATTGCCAAGTGAGTAGATACCCATACAAAATTGGTGGGAATAATCTGCCCTAGTGTGTGACTTTGAAGAATTGCACACCTGTGCTCAGAAGTAGGCACTAGGAAAGAAGACAGGACACTGAGATGGAGGTGATGACAAAGCACAGGGCAAGGGAATTTGAAAGAACCAGTGAGAAAATAGTGTTGGACTGTGATTCTGACCCAACAAGACTGTGAAATGGAAAGGGCTAATGGTTTAGGAAAATGTACAATAAAATATGAAAGCTCTGTAAGGACAGGAGGGAAGGAAATCATTAGACATGTAGGAGTCCAGAGAACTGAGGGAACAACTGGTGTTGGATGAAAAGTCACTCAAGATAATGGTAAGAAATAGAGTGTAGAAGATGGAGGGGTGTCAGATGGCAGTGTTCAATGAATGAAGCAAAGTTCCAGGAAGTGGGTAGAAGACACAACAGTGTAGGGGAAAAGCGATGTAGCCCAAAGGCGTTGACGGTGGAGGGGTACTGGTCTAGAAGCATCAATGTGGAATAAGGAGGAGCCAATCTCATCAATTAACACTAGACAAGAGAAAATGATTACTTCTTGAGAAAGCAGTGGAAAGTGACAGTGGAATTCCCAGAAGGCAGGTTTCTGTTGAAGCAAGGAGGTGTAAGTGGTGAGGCAGGACAGGAAAAACTGAAGGTGTCGGCATTTACTTCTTGTGGAAGGGTTTTCCAGTGGAGAGGTGTGGGTATAGGTGACGGGCAAGAAAATACTGAACAGTAAAGGGCTGACTGAGCTGGAAAACCCATGGTGAGGGGAACTGACTTGTGCAAAGAGGATGAGAGTGGGCACTAGACCAGTGATTCTACTTGGCAAGGGAATTGCATTAGAAAAGACTTCCTACCTAAATGGAGAAAATGTTTTGACTTTAAAAAGGTTCATGCTCATCTGGTCTTACCCTGCCTTGGTTAACTAATTTCTGATAAATTCTTATGTATTCCTAGCTCCCAAATTAATTCCTATTTAGGTAGAAGAAATATGAAAACATTAAATTCCATTAAAATGGATTAATTTACTTTAACACTGATTATCACATGACCCAAAGCCATTTCCCTTCATCCTTCAATATGGTTGCTCTTTACCAGCATAGCATAACCTTGTATTTAAGACTATATTCATACACAAAGCATATTTGTGAAACTCAATGTTGAGTAACTGAACCTTGGACATAAGCCACCCCTAAAAGAATAGTAGAGGTAAACAAACAAACCCCAAAACAGAATCAATGAAAGCACAGCATGCACTATTATAAGCTAGAAAAATCACGGG